CAAGACAGGTCAAACTCTTAAAGTCATAGATATAGGCAAGGACTTTCTCAAAAGAACCCCACTTGCACAAGAAATAGTTCTAAGAATAAACAAGTGGGACCATATCATATTAAAAAGCATCTATACAGTAAAAGAAATAACCAACAGAGTGAAAAGACAACCTACAGAATGGAAACAAATTTTTGCCTGCAATTCTTCAGAGAGAGGACTCATACCTAGAACATGAACAGTTAAAAAAATTAGATCCTCCCAAACAATAGACCCAATCAAACAATGGGTATGTAAAATGAATAGACACTTCTCAGATGAAGCAGTAAAAATGGCCAATCAATAACACATGAAGAAATGCTCAGCAGTGCTGACCATTAGAGAACTAAAAAATAAAGCAGCACTGAGATTCCATCTTACCCCAGAAAGAATGGCCATCATTAAGAAATCAAACAATAACAAATGTTAGAGAGGATGTGGGGGAAAAGGAACCCTCCTACACTGTTGGTGAGAATGTAAACTAGAACAACCTCTATGGAAATCAGTATGGAATTTCCTCAAAGAATTAAAACTACAAATTCTATTTGACCCAGCTATTTCCCTTCTATCTTCCTGAGAGATTTAATGCATCAGATTGCAGAGATACATGCATATCTATGTTTATAGCAGGACAATTCATAATAGCTAAATCTTAGAAGCAGTCTATATGTCCACCAACAGATCAATGGTAAAGAAAGTGTGGTACTTACACTTTGGAGTACTACTCTCCCATAAAGAAAGATAAACTTATAGGAAAATGAATGCACCTTGTGACCATAATGTTAGGTGCAATAAATCAAGCACACAAGCACAAATATCACACTGTTTCTCTTATGTGATAAACCCAGAGTAAAAACAAAAAGCAAAATTAAGACAGATAATAGGAAGTAGTGTGGTACATCTTTTTTCAAATGGGAAAGTGGTCAAGAGATGGAAGGAGGGATGAGGAGGGGAAGGGATAAGGGATACAAAATAGAATTGGGGGGCTGGGGATTTAGCTCAGCGGCAAAGCGCCTGCCTGGCAAGCGCAAGGTTGTGAGTTCGGTTCCCGGTACCGGAGAAAAACCAAAAAAAAAAAAAAAACAAAATAGAATTGGGAGCGCAAGGTCGTGAGTTCGGTTCCCGGTACCGGAGAAAAACCAAAAAAAAAAAAAAAAACCAAAAAAAAACCCAGAAAACAAAATAGAATTGGGATGTGTTATGTATATGTATCAACTCCATATAAGGAATATACACATTATGTACCACAAACATGAACAAAAAAAAAAGGAATGGAGTCAAGGACAGGTGGAAGGGGAGTGAGGGAAGGGAAAGGTGATGAAAAAAGGAATTAAGATGCATTATGTACATGTACCAACATCCCACAAGGAATGTAAACATTATGTACTACATACATGTATCAATAAACTCAAAGAATGACTTAAAACAAAAGAAAAAAAGTAAGTAGCAAGAATGATGAGATAAATGTATTTAAAGTGATGGGGGAGTATTCTGAGGTTGATTAAGGGCAATGCCTCTTTTACAATTTTTATTTTTTTTTTTTTTATTTTTTTTTTTTTTGGTTTTTCTCCGGTACCGGGAACTCTTTTACAATTTTTAAATAACCATATTTTTTGGTTACATGTTCACACTAAAATATATCAGACAATCTGTTCATTTTTAGTGCAGACATCCTTGCTGGAGTCTTTGCTTTCTGCTTCTTGTACTGGCTGACCTCTAGGTTTGCTACAGTTTTTGCTAATCCTTTTGGCAGTGCTTTTCTCCTATATTGGACCTGTTCCCTCTCTTGGTCTACTCTTTTTATGGAAATGACTCCAATTGCTTCATGAGAGTGTCTATGAGGCAAAATCTTTGAGATGATAGTCTGTGTTTCAGATATCTTTATTTAACTCTTGTACTTGATTACTGGTTTGGCTGTAGTCATCCCTTTGTATATGTGGGGGATTGGTTCCAGACACCCTCTCGGATACCTGTTGATGCTCAAGTGCCTTGTATAAAATAGAGTGACATTTGCAACCTATGCACACCCTCCCATATACTTTAAACCATCTATAGGTAACTGAAATACCTAATATGCTGTATAAAAAGGTGGTACAATGTACCTCTTGGGGAATAGTGACAAGGAAAGGAAACCTGTATATGTTCAGCACAGACAGAAATTTTTGTCTAGTATTTTCAAGTCTTGGATATAAGGGCCTGACTATATAGAAATTTTGCCTGAATATCATTTTATCAGATCTAAAAGCACTGTTTCATTGTCAATGTTGAATCTAATGCCATTCTGATTCTTTTATAAACTTCATAATTTTCCCTTTTTTGTCACTTTCTTGTCACTGTAATGGGGTTTTGGGAGAAAGCAAAGGCAAAGACTTGAGAAGGCCATTTTTTAACCAGAAATTCTGTGTTGGGCATTTTATAGGCACGATATATATTTTACCTTATGGATGAAGAAATAGTTAAAAGTCTTGGACACGCTCACAGAGGTAGTAACAGCAGAGGTTCAAGTCCAAGTTTGTCTGGTTCCAAAGGTTGATGGTTTTTCACTGTGTCTCCCTCCCTGATATGATGCTTCTAGACTAGGACTTTTTTGCTTAACTCTGGAAAGAAGAGCAAAAAAAATTTTGGTGGCTGTTTTAAGCAAAACAAGAATTGTGAAGGCTCAGGTTTTCCTTAATTCATTTGTATTTTTGTTAATACTATTTCCCATTTTTTCAGTTAAATTTTCTTTTTTTTTGTGTGTGTTTTTTCCTGTACCGGGAATCGAACTCACGACCTCGCCCTTGCCAGGCACACACTGTGCCACTGAGCTAAATCCCCAGCCCCTGTAGTTAATTTTAAAGTGTACCATGTTTTTGCACACACTGGCCTTGGTTCAAGCAGCAGGAATTGTATTCCACTTTTTTGAGACAGGGCATATTTATCAGGCTATGTAGTTCAGGCTGGCCTTGAACTCACTATGTAGCACAGGCTAGCCTTGTACTTACGGCAATCTTCCTGCCTCAGCCCCCCAAGTGCTATTCCACTTCCTATGTAGATGAGGTCCAGGAATGTTACCTATAGACCTAGCAAATAATCTTTTTGCTACCTACAGGTTACTTTTTGCCAATACTTTATTATTTCAAGGGTACAGATAAATAGAACTGTATGATAAACACCCATATACCCAGCACCTAGACTGTAATTGCCAACATCACCCATGATCTATCAATTCCTGATTATACTGTTTTGTTGTTGTACAAGAGATTGAACCCAGAACTTTCATACTGTGTGACATTCCTAGTCCTTTTTTTCTTTTGAGACAGGGTCTTGCTAAATTGTCCAGGCCAGGCTTGAATTTGTGATCCTCCTGTCTCTGCCTCCTAGAGTGCTGGGATGATAGGTGTGTATTATCATGCCCAATTCTGATTGTATCTTCTAAGTACTTTCTACTAGATTTCCAGGATCTTCCCCATTTACTATATTTGTTTTTTAAATACAGAACATGAATTGAGAAATTCTAGTTTTGAAAAACTTGGAAATTAGCCAAAGATTTGAGTACCTGCTACATGCCTAAGATACAATAGAGGGAATATAAATAAGGTAGTACTTATGTCCAGGAAGAATTTACAGCACAGTCAAGGAAGACAGTAGATGATGAACAACTTCTGAGCATATAAGTTAGAATAGTCTAAGTATGTGATTTCTGATTTAATATATAAAATTATGAACTACTGACAAAATATTACAAAGGTATAGGTTTTACGTGATAAATTTACCTCTGATCTACAGGAGATTAGGAACAAAGAATTCAAATCTATTTTTTAGCTCATTCTTTCCTTTCTTTTTCATGTCTAAAATTTCCCTCTGGCATAGGGGTTGGCTCACAATTAAAAAAGAGTACACAGTAATAGGATACCTTCCTAAGTCCCTTACCTACTGGCTTCCTTCCCCAGAAGCAACCTTTCTAAGACCAGTTTCTTTCAATCTAGAGGTACATACTGCACATAAAAAGGCTATTCATGTGTATATGAACATATACTAAACGTGGGGGCATATGATACACATTGACCCATACTTCTTGAGTACTTCACTTTGGATTCCTCACACCATAATGTAAATTAGTCTTCCATTCTTTTTTTTTTTTCGTCTTTTTGAAACAGGGTCTCGCTATACAGTCCAGACTGGCCTCCAACTCAGTGTGTAGCCCAGGCTGGCCTCGAACTCACAGTGATCCTCCTAACCTAGCCTCCCAAGTGCTGGGATTACAGGCGTGCGCCACCATGTAGTCTTCTATCTTTCCTCCCACGCTGCCTCTTCCTTTGTACTCAGATCATAAATATTTGTTTCTTATTTGTAAAGGGAAGAACTTGAGATGATAGTGTTCTTACCAGTTCATCACCAGCACATTTTTTAAAGAAAAGAACTGAGTCAGATGCAGTGGCTCATGTCCGTGATCCCAGCAGCTGGGAGGCTAATGCAGAAGGATCCCAAGGCTGAGGCAGGCCTGGGCTATGCCCTGAGTAGAAAGCCAGCCTGGTAGTGAGACCTTGTCTCAAAAGCCAAAAAAAAAAAAAAAAAAAAAAAAAAAATTCTACCTGAAAGCTAAGAACAAGAGCTGCCTGAAATCGTTTTTGAAATTAGATTTAACCAGAAATAATTAGGGATGGGAGATCTGCAAGATAAAGCAGTCTGCATCTGAAAGGGCAAACCACCCTGACTTGTTAAGTGAATGGACACTCAGATTGCAGTCCCCAATTAAATGTACAAATTCCCATCAGAACATTCTAAGTTTTTAACAAATTTGAATACATATTCCTTCACTCATTTTCACTTTGCTTTACTATGAGTCACATGCTAATTCCAAATAAATGCAAGTAATTCTCCGGTATACAATCAATGCAGCCATTATATAAATCTTAATTGCTTTCTGGCCCTGAGAATTACTGTGCTTTATTCATCTTCCTTGAATCCCTTCAGTCAGAAATGAAAGATCATTGATAAGCTTGATTTTTTATTAATAACCTTGGAACAAATGCATTAATAATAATTCCTTATAGTTATATATCATTTTACAGTTTTGAAAGAACTTTCACATATATCAATAAACCCTCACAACATCCCTGTGAGGTAGGTAGGGGAGGTGTTATTTTCCTATTACTAGTAAGAAGAACAAGGCTTAGAGGTGAGATAAGGTCACACAGTTGGTAAATAATGAAGCCAGGACTAGAACCTAGGCCTTCTAACATGCTGCCTCCCTGAGAACATTCAAGTAATGATATCTGCGTTATATAGTGAACATTTCTCTCCTGTGATGTTAATCAGATTTGAATTTTTAAAAAATTTTATATCATTTTCCCCTCACATCCTTAAATACTCAAACTGTGATAAGACATTTCTTCCCTGTGATTGGGCTATTTCTCAAATCTCAAGCACCATCCTAAGATGAAACTTATAACTAATTTTTGAGGATCCTTGGTTATAAATGCTAACTTATGATATGAAGATTTATTTCAGAAAATTCTGCATAAATATTAGTATGGCAGACACGTCAAACTTACTTAAACTAAATACAAGTGGTCTGTTCATATTCTCAAAAGCTTTGAAATCTTAACAGTAAGACTTTTAGATGTGGACATAGGGGAAGCTGTTTAGCAATATTACTGGGAATCTTGTGAAGAGTGCACCTAAATGCAAGTCACATGACACTAATTTTGTTTTCCGTATTGGCCTTACAGAGGAATGGGAACTGTTAGAGTCTGTTTTCTGGTTTGATCCTACCTTGCGTGTGACATCCTCATCAACAAGCTAGAAAAATGATCTGAGTTATAAAAATAGGAGGGTTTAGGCAGCAGTGACTAAAGCATATATGCATGTGGTGGGAAGAAAACATTTGTTCTTCAGTGATTTTGCTAGGTCCAGTGTAAATTACTTATCAAGGCAGATTCGAAGCTACAGCCTCTCCATTAAATTAAAAAATGTGAAATATGGTAGACTTATCAACTTGGAATACAAGTGAGTGTTACTGACCCAAAACTCATATCAAAAGCGTAGTAAAGTTCAACAGGCATGAAAGGGAAGGGATAAAATCCAATTACTACTTTGGTATGGAGTGAAAAACAAAGTTCAAACACAAATATTCAGGTTCAAGTTAACCAGAACATCAGGCATGTAAAGCAGGTTTTTTTTTTTTTTTTTTTTTTTTTTGTAAAGCAGGTTTTAAAGATATGAAAATGTCACTGAGCTGTATTATCAGGAATGGTATTTAAAAAATTCCAGTTACAACCTTTTAAATTTAAGGGCAATGGGGAGAAACTTAAGCCTATGGATGATTGGTACAGAAAACAAATAGGAACTAGAAAAACAATTAAGGTAGAAAATCAGGGGAGACCAAGGAACTTAAATACATTCAAAATGGATTTAGAACCTCTCTAAATCTATCCTTTCAAAAAATGTTTCCTAAATTAAGAGATTTGGTCAAAAGAGCTAGTGACAATGAAAGTGGTAATTTTACCTCACAAAAAGAAAGTACTTATTTAAATGTAGGTTAGAGATTAATAATTAATTTACTGACTAGGTTGTAGAAACTGAAACTTAAGTGCTGCTATCAGTGATAAATGGCAGAAAACTGCTTTCAAAAACAGAACTGCCATTGTGGCACTCAACATTAATAAAACTATTAAGAAACAAGTTTTCAACTTATGTACTTGAAGCCTAATGAGAAAATACTTATATTCTTATGAAAGAAACCTAACAGTTTAAACTCATGTGAAAAAATGTTAAAGTTATATTTAAGTTTTCTAAGATAAAAACAAGATCTAGAATGCTGTATTCTGCTACGTAGGCTCAAAATCAACTATACTTTTTAAATGCATCTAGACTAGCCTAGACTATTTCTTACATAGCATCATTGTCATCATCATCTTCATGTTTTCTCTTCAGTGGGTTTGATTCACTGGCTGTGTTCTGTGTTGAAACCATGTTGGTGGTAATAAGAATATTTTTGGATCCAATCATTGAAGGATTAATCAAAACATTTTGAACTGCAGTTGTTGCAGGAACTGTAAACAGAGAAGAAAATCTCCATAAACTTTGAATTACCCAGAATCTAAAACATATTGTCAAAAGTAAACAACAAAGCTGGGTGTAAATCTAATAAAAATTTCAATACAACGCCATACAACTACATCATAGAACAGTGTTGGTGAACCTAGGGCAAGCATGCCTCAGTGGACTGTTTGTATCACTGAAAGTTCCAAAAGGTTCACCATCACTGTCATAGAAGAAACAATGGTAATTATACTGTATTAAGTGTTTTAATTAAATTTTTAAAATATTTATTTTATTGGAAATTAATAATTGTAAGTTATAGGGTAAAATGCGTTATTTGATCTATGTATTTATAAGGATTTAATCTACTTAAATATATCTAATGCAGAGTTAGAGAGGTTTTGTTATATTTCAACTACCTGAAATTTCAGTCAGTACTTAGTACACTGGATTCACCATGGAACATACTAAATACACATGTTTAAGGCCAGGAATTGTGTTTCCTGCATAGCCCAATATTTTATAAGTTATTTATTGCATGCAGTTGGGTTTTAAAACATGTAAACATATGTATTAGCAAACTATGCTATACCAGAATTTTATTTAGTATTATTCCAATCATACGTATAAATATTTTATAGTTACATATCCTGCTATGAAGTGAATAAAGATACACTTTCAGTTCAATTTACATTTACATTCTGGATTACACACACATATTTGTCATGAAGTTGTATGATTTTTTTGAGCTTTTACCTTACATGCTTTTCCCTGAAGATGCCTTATATTTGAGGACCCTAACATTTTTTAGTTCATAGAATTCTTTGAAAATTTGATGAACATGTTGAATATTCTCCCCTCCCCATGAAAATGTAACATATATGTAAAATTTCATACAACTGTAGACTGATTTACAGCATTACTGCCACCTTACCAGTGCAACATTAAAACAATTTACCTTTTTGATAAGAACAAAAACTATTCTATAATTGCAAATTACTCATAAATTCTGCCCCCCCCATCATATTACCTGGTTTGACAGGTGTTGACTGAGATGATGGAATCTGCACTGTAAATCTTTGGCTTGTCACTGATACTGGAGTTGTAACTTTATTTGGGACAGACACTGTTTGTGGGGCTGCTGTAGTTAAAATGAACACACCATGTTAGATGACTTAAAATAAGAGCAAAATGATTTTTCAAAAGTTTACAAACTTATTTAGATGCTACAAAACTGGTCGAGGGGTGTGGCTCAGTGGTAAACCACTTGCCTAGCATGCCTGAGTTCCTGGTTTCCATCTCTAGCACCGCAAAACAAACGAACAAAACCCCCAACATTCAGTACAGTGTGGTGGTAAAAAATGTTGCCTGTGGAGCCTATTGTGCTTGAGTTTGAATCTAGGCCTTATTACCAACTAGCTGGGCTTCTTGGGAAACTAATCTTCTTGTACCTCAGTTTTCTCATCTGTGAAATGGGAGCAACAGTATCCATTTCATTAAATTCTTGTCAGAATTAAGTAATAATAACCCATATAAAGCTATTCAAACAGCATCTAGTACAGAGTAAGCACCAAATTTTACCTATACAAAACCATCAAGTTGGAGGGGCTGGGGATTTAGCTCAGTGGCACAGCACCTGCCTGGCAAGCACAAGGTCATGAGTTTGCTATCTGGTACCAGAAGAAAACCAAAAACCAAAAACCAAACAAACAAAACCATCAATGGAGTTTAATACATTCTTACCAGCTTGAACCACTGATGGTACATGCATGTCTGTCCCATTAGGAAGCAAGCATTTTTATCAGTCCTTTTACTAATAAAATTAATGAAGCATCTATACATAGACTAAATCTAGTTAGTTGCTTGGATTTGAATCACTGCTAAAATATTAATTAATACTATTCATACCAATTAAGAATTATTATAATAATCAAGTTTCATTATTTTAAAAGAAATTTATTTATATTCATGAATAGTTTATCAACATTAGAGAATATTAATTCTGTAATTTTTTTTTTGAGACAGGTTCTTGCTATGTAGTCCAGGCTGGCTTTGAACTTGCTTACGTAGCCCAGGCTGGCCTCAAACTCTCAGTGATCCTCCTGCCTCAGCCTCCTGAGTGCTGAGATTACAGGTGTAAACCACTACACCCAGCTTAATTCTCTAAATTTTAACCTGGAAATTTTACAAGTACCTCATTGCTGGTGTATATAATAGGCATTTAAACTGCTATATTACAAATAAACTGTATTACAATTTTTATACCTTTTAAATCTTTTCCTTAAGAAACTGTAATTGATGACATCTGGTCTGTTAAATCAACACCCTTCTTTGCATTACTGTAATCAAAGACCCCCTGAGAAGCAGTATAAACCACTTGATGGTACAGTCACAGGTGTACCACCAGTGGTTTAAGCTGGCAGAATGATCACATTCAAATCAGAGCTGCCCCAGCAGAGAGACATACGAATTATGGCTCCATGAAGAACATGTTAAACAAACTAATAAAGACTCTAGATGTCTATTACCTTAGGTGTCACCTTTCATGTTGGTCACTTTCTGAGAATTAGAGGATATCTACTATGCTTATGAATCTAAATCAACACATATCTAACAAAAAGAAGCCAACCAATTAGACTTGTCATTCCCTGGGTGAGCATAAGAAACACACTCATTCTTCATGTTCAGAGACTTTTTAAGCAGAAAGAGATCTTGGAGATAACCTAGTCCAAAATCCTCATCTAAATTCTATTCTTTATTTATTTTTGTGGTGCAGGGTATCAAACCAGAGCCTTGTCCATGCTAGGCAACTGCTCTACCACTGAAGTGTACCCCTAAATTCTGCTCCTTATTTTAAGGTACATGTCAAATAATCACCCTATTTTATAAAATTTTCCTAGACTTGCTCAGTTAGAAAGCTCATTTCCTGCCTCTGAAATTCCCTTCACACACATCACAGGAGTTTTATTAGTATCTTATCTCATTCCCTTGCTTATAAGCCTTGGCTAACATTTTTCGCCCCTGTGAGCACAGGCTCTTGTGCCTTGTTCCTAGAAGGCATTTAACACATGTTTGTGTAATGAATAGATTTTGCCCAGTTTAATATCTATACTGTCATTGCTCTCTCAAAAAATATTTATGGAAATGTGTCTAAGTTTTCTTTTGGGGATGTAGGCTTTCTGTACATGTACCCTTTCCTCCTGGCACTAGTCATCTACACAGGGCCAGAGTTGCTAAAGACAGTGCAACTAGCATCATCTTTAAGGACAAAGGGGAAAGGAAGCCCAAAGAGACCCAGAAATCTGGGTTCCCATGCTTTCTTCCCTAAATCCAAAAGGTGGTATCTTACTCTAATATATCTCTTTCCCTATTCAAGTTTTCCCATGTATTAAGGAGTGGTCCAAAGAATTTACTGACGCATAATGAAGCAATATAAATATTTTTTAATTTGTCAAGAAAACAAACTTCTACAGTTAGTAGACGTTTTCTTGGCCATTAACTTATAAATTGTTAAAACATTTAAATAGGTGTGGACTTAAGGCTTTAAAATCAAACAGGGTGGATATCCAGGTGTCAAATGTACAAATTATTTTTAAAAATTTTTTGTTTAAATTTTACATCTTTAATGGTAGTTTTTAGTAGCACCTTCACTTTAGATTTTAAAAATCTCTACTTTTTATTTATTTATTTATTTTTGTCATTTTTGAGACAGGGTCTCACTATGTAGTTCAGGTTGGCCTTGAGCTCACTTTGTAGCCCAGGTTGGTCTCAAACTTGCAATGATCCTCCTGCCTCAGCCTCCCAGTGCTGGGATAACAAGCGTGCACCACCATGCCTGGCTAGATTTTAAAAATCTCTAAAGCATATAAAACAAATGACCAGGAATAAAACTCACAACTGATAACTGAAATTTGTTAATTTGCCTAACACATGTAACAGATTCGGGCAGTGGTGGAGAACCCATGCCATGTGTGCCACAGTGGGCATTTGTTATCACTGAAAGCTCTAAAAGGTTCACCATCACTGGACTAGGGGTTTAAAAACTGATACTGTCAAACATGCTGGTACATGACTATAGTCCTAAGCTATTTGTAAAGCAGGGGCAGGAGAAACGCTTGTGCCCAGGAGTTTGAGACCAGCCTGAGCAACATAGTAAGGTCCTGTCTCAAAAAGTGGAAAAAAAAAAGTTGGTACTCAACATGAATCCACAGACAAATGGCACATCATAAAAAATTAGAGACTGTATATGCAAATTTCCATTCACAAAGATCACATGTAAGTGATTTGAAATGTATATCTGATTCCATATCAAACTGGTTTTACTTAGTTTTATTTTTGCGGTACCAGGGATGGAACCCAGAGCCTTGCACGTGATAGGCAGGGGCTTTCTACCACTGAGCTATATGCTAGCCCATTTTAAAATTTTATTTTGACACTAGGTCTTGCTACTTTGCCTAGGTTGGCCTTGAATTTGTGATCTTTTTACTTTAGCCTCCTGAGTAGCTGGGACTCTATGCATACAACACCACACCTGGCTCTAGGACAGGTTTAAAGTGCTGAAATGTAACATATCCTGAGGACAAGTAGATGTAGTTCACACCTCAAAAGTCAAATGCTGCTTATATTAGTGGTATAAGACAGCTATAGGACTCAAGTTATAAGCAGTAAGATTTATAAAATTAATACTAGTGAAAGAGAAGGGGCTTGTTTTCTGAAAGTACTTTATTTTTTTTCAAGAAACCCAGCAAGAACGAAAAAAAAAGTCTAATTACATTTTTTTCCTTATCCAAACAATCATATTAACATGCAATGGCTTCTTTCTCTTTTCTTTCTTTTTTTTCAGTACTAGGGATGGAACCCAGTGCCTTCACACTGAGCTACATCCCTGGCCCTTTTTTATTCTGAGACAGGGTCTTCTTGTCAAGTTGCCTAGGCTGGGCTCAGTCTTCCAGTTCTCCTGCTTTACCTTCCACAGTGCTGCGATTATAGGCATGTGCCACCCTGCTTGGTTTAAATAATGGTTTCTAAACACCATTCTCCCCTGAAAGGAACCAGGGCTCTTTGGGGAAGTGGTTAATTGTAGGACTAGGGCCAGAAAATCCTGCATAAGATGGGGTTGGAACATTTTGTGGCAGAAAGTAAGAAATGTTCCAACTATTATGGAGATCTATCAAAAAAGATACAGCACCTAGTTTGATGGGGCTTTCCCTGAGCAAAATAGGTCAACTAGTACTATTTTTTTTTTGAGATGGGTTCTCTCTGTGTTGTCCAAGCTAGTTTCTTACTGTTTAAAATTGGTTAGTAATGAAAAAAACATAATTATATTTTGAAGTCCTTAAGCTTTTTGCATTTTGTCCTTTTAAAAACTATTCCCATTTTATACAGAAATTTCTAATAATGAGGCTGCTGCCTTAAGTGCGTTTGGCAACTGCATTTGTAGGAAAGACGGACCCAATACAGCACAGGGTAAACTCATTTCTGATATCTTAGTTAATAGCAATAATGGAGCTGGGTGTGGTGGCGCATGCCTGTAATCCCAGCACTCGGGAGGCTGAGGCAGGAGGATCATTGTGAGTTCAAGACCTGCCAGGGCTACAAAGTGAGCTCAAGGCCAGCCAGAACTGCATAGTGAGACCCTATGCAGACCCTATGTTTTGTCTCAAAAAGACAAAACAAACAAACAAACAAAGAAACCAAGAATGGTCTGGGCAATGTCCAATTTTATACTCAATTTGGATCAGGCTCTCTTTGTAGCTTTCTTATTTTGAAATCCAGGTAAAATGTACAGTTTTACTACAGGATATCATACAAGAATTTCTGACTCCCTTTTTGACTTGGATTATAATTCAGAACCTCTTCTTTACCAGCCAGAAAAGCTATTTCCCACTTTTACTTACCTACAGTGGGAGTGGTCGGTCTGCTACTAACAGCACCAACACTTAATCGTGGAACTAGGCGTCCTTGATTAGGTCCCTAGGGGATTTAAAAGAAAAGGTAGTTTTACTGTTATTAAGATTTGACATTTCAATTTAACCAAGAGTGAAATGATTGTCATGAATGTCAAGAATGTCTTGTTTTTCTTTTTTCAGCATTCTAAATCCGATATTTAAACTAGAGTTTTCACAAACATACATACATGTACTTATCCATAGAAAATTAGATGTGACTCCATCTAAATATGTATAGCAAATTGGAGTCTTATCTGAATGGGGATAAAAGCTAACTTCCTTGTGATTTTTAATCTTCACTAACATCTTAACCCAAAAAGAAAACTCTCATAGCATAGCATAGAAAACAAAGGTGGCCTAATATAGGGAGAATTTTTTTCAGTGGTGGGAGAGTCTTAGGTCATATTTAAGAAAGTGGGCGCAACTTCTGATGGTATATCACTTACTCTATTATCAGATCTCAGTAAAATCTATGACACAGTGGAAGTACTGGGAGTTATGAGACCTGAGAATCAGGCCTAGCTTTGCCATTCACTCCGTAAATGAGTTCAGGCTCAGTTTATTGAAGTAAAAAATGTATACTGGGTTAAATGAACACTTTTTAAAAAAAATTCTTAAGCTTTGATCTCCTGCACTATCTATAGGAATTTGCTTTTTACAAATTCCCTTATAGAAAAAAATCTCTTGTTTTTTAAAAACCAAGTTGACCGAAGAAACTTACCTTTTTAATTAAGGACTTCAGCCTGTAGTTTGGAGCTGTTAAGCAGTATCTATCAGGTGGTAGTCTAGGTCCTGCATATGGCTTAATCAGTGGCAAAGGTGTTTGATTTTTCTGCCTTGCAATATCCAGTAAAAACTAAGAGGACAATGAATGCTCATTAGAACTACAATTTAAAAAATTGCAAGTAAAAATAACTTCAAATAAATGTTTGCTCACATCTCTCGGGGGAGGAGAGGTAAAAGATTGGTCAGCACGACACTGGATTGCCAGTCTGACATCATCTGCATCAACATTAGGTTTCTTAGCATGGCTTGAATAAATTTTTGCATCATCAAGAATTGTAGTCACATATCCTTTAAGAACAAAACAATTTTTTTTCTTAAACATATGAAGACAGCTTAATCTTTATGGCCACTTAATATTAATAAAAGGTTCCAGTAATTCCAGGAAAGCTCATTAATTTTGGTGTTAATGGCTAACTGTCCTATTCATATCACACATTTTAAATAGGTACGTTGAAAATACCTGTCCCATAATTCGAGCTCCTCTTTTAGTGCGTTAGTTATTTTTATATTAATAACATAATTTGGTTGAAAATATTCTTACAGTAAAATGATCTTTTCTAATTCACAAGTTTGACAAGTTTTTGTTTTCTTAACTTACGGAAAGCAAATTCCAACATTTGATTTATAACCCTTGGTTCATACTCCGTGATTCCCATATCCTTCAGGATCTGTGCCATCACCTGTGGATTCAAATAAAAATGCCAGATGCATAACCTAGGTATTGGATATCAAGACTGGACTGAAGATAGTATTTATGATACAAGGTCCCCTTTTCTGGGCTCCAAACTCCTACCCGTCCTTGTCTTCCCAAGTGAGTGGCAATGATCACACCGAGTTATATGCTCTCGCTCAAAACTTATTTATTTATTTATTTGCAGAGGTTGGCTTTCCCAGTAGAGGTAGGGGTGGCTCCAGCTGGCTGTCATTTTCGGATGTGGCCGTGGGGGAAGTCAGCATCAGAACCCCAGGCGCGGAGAGTGAGGGCACACGGATGGGGCAAGACCACGAGGCGGAAGCCTGAGGCCGGGGAGACAAAGCAGGGCGCCCGGCCTGCGCACCGAGCACGCCGCGACCCTCCGGAGAGGCTCAGATGAGCGGCAGGAGAGCGCCCCGGGACCAAGGAGAACCCGCATGACCTCTGCTGCGGGCTGTCCAGGCTAGGTTCACGCCCGCGCGCGAGCCCACCCTCCGGGACTCTTGCGGTTCTGGCTCACAGGCTCCCGGCTGCGCTGGGCTTTACTCCTGTCTCTCATCCTTCGCACTTACCAATGCATCTCTGGGAGCGTTCTTAGGAGGCGCCATCTTGCCCGACTCCATGTTACCCAGCCTCTCGTCATCAGGGGAGACAGGGCAGCTCACACACTCCCCGCTCAGGCTCCACCCTTGAGGGGGCGGGAGGCGGGGTTACCCCGTTAGCTGGCATTTCACACCCTTTGCACAGCTGTTTCACAGTTCTGGCCGGTGTGGTCTCCTGGAAACTCAGTTCTCTGAGACCTGCGACCAGGAGTCAGGTATCCGGCGCCCAGCATCGCACAGAGTGCGGGCCAGCGAGGAGGACTGGGAGAGGCGTGTAAGCCTTCCTCTGAGTTGTGCCGAGGGCTAAGTGATGTAGAAGAGTGGAGAAGCGTGTCTTCCCAAAGTTGTTCTCCAGTAAGATACCCAGAATAGGCTACTCTCACCTTGGCTGGGGGGCCTCCTCAAACCCTCTGCTACCACACTGGCCCGGTCCAGCTCCCTAGATTTCCTGCAGGCCCTGTGCCTCCACATCAGGATTGCGAGGTCAAACCCGGAATACCAAGGTACATTTGAATGTCACACCAACAAGGAATACATTTTTTAATAAGTGTATCCCAAATATTGCAAATATGCTGGTACTTACACTACAAAATTATTTGCTGTTGAACTGACACTGATATTTAATTGGGCATCCTAGATTTTCATTTGATAAATCTGACAACCCTACCCAATAGCTTTACAGAGCCAGGACTTTGGGCAGTGGGACTTAGGTCAGCTCCTGTCATGCTTTGCATCCTGTCATGGCTGCCCATTTTATATTGCTGAACAGCCAAAATCTTTAATTGCCTTCAAGTTTCCACTGAAACCCCCGCTCCCCACTTTGTCTCTTAGTCTGGGTAGGTCTGTTCCCACTGAGGTCCACATAAGCCCTTCATTGTCTTCCAGATTGCTCCTGATACCTTTCTTCTCAGAAAAGCCTGAGTAAATTTACTGAGAACCATGCATCCAGCCTGACTTATTTTTTTTTTTTTTTAAGAAGCATCAGTTTACCATTTTTGGCTTAAAATGTTCCCGAAAACTGTCTTATACCTTTATCTACCAACAACCATGCATCACTCCATCTCAGGCAAAGACATCATCATTCACCTAAGCAGGCAGTCACATTGCCGCTTTCCTTCACAATCCCCAAGTAATATATTAGTGAATCTGGTGAGAATGCCCTCCCTGTTGCAAGATATCTGTCTGTGTGTGAATCTCCACCCAGTGCTACTTTGGGATGAAATTGAAGCCAACAGACTTACTCACAAGATTATAGAAATTGACCCCCCAAATAAGGCCATCCCAGATTTCTCACTTAACTAGAGGGATCTCTTAGGTTTAAAAAAATATTTTTATTACCATATGTTTGCAGTAATAATGATTACATTTATAGTGGGGAGTTGGCACATGTACATAACACACTTTACTTTTAAGTCACTTTTACTTCCTTTCCTTCCCCTCCATCCATCTCTACTGTCCCCATACAATTTGCAAAAGATCTATCTACCTGTTTCCTATTATCTTTTATTTTGCTCTTTATTTAAGTTTTGGATTTCTTATATAAGAGAAACTATGTACTATTTAAGCTAGTATATCCTATTTATTTCACTTAACATTGTGGTTTCAAAGTGCATGCATTTTCCTACAAATGACTCAAATCTATCCTTCATGGAAGAGTAATATTCCACTGTATATAAGACCCCATTTTCTTTATCCATTCATATCTTGATGGGAATATAGGCTGTTTCCTAGATTTAGCTATTAAAAATTGTGTTGCTATAAGGACGGTATGGTGGATTGACAACTGGTGGTCAACTTATAACACCCAGCTGAACTGAACCAGTGTGGTGCTTGCTGGGTGTGGAAGGCCAACCTGAGGATTGCTGCCAGCACCATAAGAAGCAGAACTGAAAACAGGCTGTTGAAAGGCTGTTGGGAGCTGGTAGAAGCTGTCTGGGAAGCTGTTAGGAAGCTACTTGTTCTCTTGGGCTATTCTGCTGGAGGACCTTGTCATGCTGGCTTTCCTGATGAACTTGACTGTTCTCATCAGAAGAGGAGCTCAGGACCTTGTTGTCACTGAGAATGGCTAAGGTTCACTTTGGAGGAGTTCTGGTCCTCACTTTGAGCATTGCTTCCTGGCTCCGGATGGGAAGATGGTTTTGGGGGGAGTCCTGTTTCTTACTCTGAGTGTCACTTCCTGACTCCAGTGCAGATCCCTCAGCCTGCTAGCACAGATCCTTCATCTTGCTGGTGCAGACTTTCGCCACTGACCTTTGGGCCTTCCCAGCACAGGTCCATGAAACAGGTCTGCATGAGACATAGTCATGGGCTCTAGGCCTCCAGTTGGACTCATGGGAGACATTGTTATGGGCTCTAGGTCTTCAGCTGGACTCATGCAGGACATTGGCGTGCGATCCAGGCCCTCAGCTGGATTCTTTGGTCTTTAGTGTGTGGACAGATTTCCTGCACTCTCTTTTTGTATATGATTCTTTGGGTGACTATTATAAACAATCTTATAAAATATGTGTCCTGTATTATATTCTTCCCCTTGCAAAACCCCAAACTACGACACGTGCGTATGCACGTATCACTGTGATATAATGTCTTTAACTCTCTCAGAAAGATAAGTAGAAGGGAAATAGCTGGGTGCAGTGGAATTTCTATTTTTAGTTTTCTGAGGCATCTCCATACTGCTTTCCACAGTGGTTGCACTGGTTTACATTCCCACCAAAAATGTAGAAGGGTTCCTTTTCCCCTTGCGGCCTCTCTAGCATTTGTTATTATTGATTTCTTTTTTTTTTTTTTTTTTTTTTATTTTAAGTATTATTGATTTCTTGATGATAGCCATTCTTTGAGGAGGAAGATAAAATCTCAGTGTTGTTTTAATTTTAATTTCTCTAGTGGCCAGAGATGTTGACCATTTTTCATGTATTGATTGGCCATTTGTATTTCTTCTGGGAAGTGTCTATTCATTTTAGTTATCTATTTTTAATTGGATCTTTTGTTTTGGGAGGGTCAACTTTCTTAGCATTGTTTTATATATTCCAGATATTAGTTCTCAGTTTGAGGAGTAGCTGGCAGTTTTTTTCTCCTCTCTCTGTGTTATCTCTTTATTCTGTCAGTTGCTTCCTTCACTGGGCAGAAAATCTGATAGATACCATTTGTTGATTTCTTTGGTATTATTCAGTGTGCTGTTAGGGTTCTGTTTAGAAAGTCTTTACCTATGGCTATGTCTTCAACAGTTTAACATATTTTACCTTCCAGCAGATTGTTTCTGTTATTTATTTATTTAGAGACAGAGTCTTGCTATGCAATTCAGGCTGGTCTTGAACTCACTATGTAGCCTGGGCTGGCCTTGAACTCATAGAGATCCTCCTTCCTGAGCCTCCTGAGCACTGGGATAACAGGAGTGAGCCATCATGGTGTTATGGTTGATATATTGTGTCAACTTGAGGAGTCTAGAAACTTGGCTAAGTGACTCAGCAGTTCTATACCCTGAGCCTGTGCAAGAAGAGGCTTGCTCCCCACCCCCCTTGTATGCTTGCTGCTTTTGCTGTTTTCTGCCACCATGCATGGTTGCCCTGTGCCATGTGCTACTCTGCCTTGGAGCCAGCCAAGTAAGGATTGAAACCTCCACAAACTGTGAGCTAAATAAACTTATCCTCCCTTAATTTTGGGTGTCAGATATTTTGTCTCAGCAATGAGAGAAAAGAACCAAGATAGAATTTGATACCAGAGAATTGGGTTGTTGCTGTGACTATACCTGACCATGTGGTTCAAGAGCCTTTGGGAATGGCTTGTGAAAAGTATTTGGAAGCTGGATGTGGTGGCACATGCCTGTAATCCCAGCACTCGAGAGGCTGAGGCAGGAGGATCATTGTGAGTTTGAGACCAGCCTGGGCTACAAAGTGAGCTCAAGGCCAGCCTGAACTGCATAGTGAGACCGTGTCTCAAAAAAGACAAAAAAAAAAGTATTTGGAAAGGTTCAGAGATTTTACCTGAAAGAGAAGTGCTAGAATGCCTTCAGCTGTTCTGTATGGGAGATTCCGGTCAGAGCTCAGAAGACCACAAGGCTGATAGAAATCCTGCCGGTAAAGACCGGGTTCAGGAGGTTTCTGCTAGGAAGAAGGACTGTATTGATTGTTGGACTCCAGATGATGTGTGCTATGGTTTGGCAGAAAGTTTGTCTGCATTTTGCTCATGTCCAGAGACTGCCTGAGACTGAGAGTAAGGGTGGTGAACTGATTAACCTGGCAGAAGAAATTTCAAGGTGGTCAAATGTTGAGGTGGTACCATAGCTATTGTTGGGGGTTTTTAGCAAGATCTCTGTTGAGAATCAAGAGCAAAGAGCCCAGCAGGATGATTTAAAATGTTCTGAATTTTGCTGAAAAGAAAACTCCAGTAATTAATCATTAACTGTTCCTTTCAATAAAGTGATATGAGACAGTAGTACTACTATGTTAGCTATCCTATACATACATATATATATATATATATATAATTTTCCCCTTCTTTCTTTTCTCTGTTCCCTCATCTCAGTTGCTCTTTGCTTTTGAGCAGTTTCCTTTCATTTCACAATGTTTATCATACCTCTTAATTTTTATTCACAATCTTGCATGTATGTATTTGTTTTCCTAAGTAACCACTTTGAAGTTATCAATATGTAATACAACCATTGTTAACTCTGTCACCTTGTATGTAATTCAGTATTGCTTGTAGTACTCTTGTGCTACTCTGTAAATGGTTGTCTGTTTATTAATATGTTTTCATTCTTTTACTTTTAAAATAAAAAAAAATAGAGCAAGTGCTGTGGAAAAAAATAAAGAAAACTCCAGTAAAGCTGTGGACTGCAAAGATATAGGTGAGGAGATCTTTATTGCTGAGAAGGGGCAAGAGACTAGAAAAGATGGCCTGAGGACATCACAAGAAGCTGCAAGTCTCCACCTTTTGCAGCCTCAAACCTGCAAAGGTGAAAGACTTTGCTTTGAGAAGAAAGCCACAGAGCTCCATGTTCCAGAATGGCAGTGGTGGCTGCACCAGGTTCCACAAATGTGGCAGCATAGAGAATTTGTTCTTCAGAATCAGGTTCAGAGTGCTT